GTTTGACTTCCACAAGTGGCTGGCAGGAGAGGAAAAAATAGAGCATTCTGACTACAACTGCATTTAGCCATGAGCAGTTAGAGGAACTAATGAACAGCATCGTTATTTTACTGAAGGGGATGAAGTAGGTGCTTTAGATAAATGGTAGCAACTTAAAATGCGTTTCAGAAGATAAAATTCACTTTCTCTCCATTTACCTGCTGGTGTGACAAATTAAGAAAGAGCATAAAACAGGAGCAAGAGGGAAAGCAGTGCAAAAGGTAGCTGAGGGGATGCAATGGGCCCTTACACAAATGGTGCACACGCAGAGAGTGCTGGAAGAGCTCCTAGTCAAATACAACCAGGATGCCTCACACACTGGGCTGCCTTGGAAATCCATGACAGAGTTTGCACTGAGTTTGTCCTAAAATAAGATTCCAGGCACCAGAAGTGATGCCACCCTGGAGCTAACCTAATCTGTTTGCTTCAGTGTTGCACCTGGAATGCAATCAGGAGCTCTCCCAGCTGGGCTGTGCTGGGCAGAGGCTCTTTGGCAGCTGCCACAAACACCACCAAATCGATGGTCGCTGCAAGCAAAGGGGCAAAGGTTTTCTTTCCCCAGAATTAATCATTAGAGACGGTGAGTTTTCTTATCCTACAGCCATCTCACAATTAACAAAGTATTCGCTGAAGGGCTGAGCACCCACGTACAAAAGCCTCCTGCAGCTTCTCTGTACACCGAAACCACCCAGCTCTTTCTCCGCGGTCAAAAAGCACCGCGTTCACCTCTCCTCGTGTCCCCGACGCCGTGCTCTGCTTCCTCCCGAGGAAGCACTTGAACACAGCCCGCAATTTGGCCTTAAGACGTATACGTGTGCTTAGACAGTGTTCTCCCTGCTCTTTGTTGCTTCTCGCACATCGAGCCGTCGGGCCACGAGCTCCGCACGGCTGGACGGGGAGCCCAAGCGGGGCCGCCTGAGGCCCCTCCTCACCTCAGCGATCCTCTAGAAGCACGGCCGCCAAGGCCGGGGCTCGTCCTGCCATGACCTCAGGCGACGGAACAAAGCATTCCTGGAAAGGCCCGCGACTTCGGCCGCGTTTTGGCCTTTCTTCACAGCGCCGCGGCGGGCGCCGAGGGCAGCGCGGGGAGCCCGCCGTTCCGCAGCGGCGCGAAGCTGCGGGCGGGACGGAGCACCGCGGGACGGGAGCTGCCCGCCGGCACCGCGCGGGTGAGCGACGTGCAAAGAGCACGAGGGAGGAGAAGCGAGCGGGGCGGCTGCCGGCAGAGGAGCAGAGCGGCGCGAGGGGACGGGCGGGACGGGGGCCGCTGAGGGAAGGAGGGGAAGCCGTGAAGCGCGCGGCTCCGGCTGGCGGGCGGGCGCGCGCGCTCCCTCTCCTCTTACCAGCGGCTGCTCGGCCTCCTCCCTCGGCCTCCATCACTTCCTCTGAGGCGGGCTCCCAGCACGCGGCCCGCCCTCGCCCCGGCCGGGGGTGGCGGTGCGGCCCCGTCCCTCAGTGCGGGCGGGGAAACAAAGGGACCGAGAGGGAGGGTGGCCTGAGGAGGAGCGGGCGGGAGAGGCTCTGGCTGCAGCCCCAGGGCTGAGCGAGCGGCCCCCGAGCTCCCCTCCGCGAGCACCGAAGCTCGCTTCTTCCCTTAACAGCAACGAAACAAATCAGCATACCTCTGCACTTAGCTTTTGGGGAATATCGCTGCTTCAGTCCATTTGAAGCGACATTTCAGAGTTCTTCAGGCGGCTCGCGCCGCTGTTGCACACTCTATTCCTGCCAGAGCTGTAAGAGAAAACTCCACGTGGTTGATCTTCCCTTCAAACGTTTGTAAAAACGTACCCAAGCAGACCTGTGTTTTCTTTCCTCGATAAGACAAAGCGGTATTGCCCTCCGCTGTGGGACAAGAGCAATCTCAGCGCTGACGCTCAGTCACACAGCCACTGTGCAGCACATCAGTGCATTTCAGTGCATGCTGTGACCGCTCGAAGCCTTGCGCCTTCCACCGTTCCCTCAGTATCACACACGTCACTCAGCCCAAAGGTTTCACCGTCATCTTGAAAATGTCCTGGCCAGCTAAGACTTGTCATCTGGGTTTTGTTTATAACTAGGAGTGGTAAACATGTTACCATTAAGCCCAAGGAATCTGTTGGTCCTACTTAAGTATTTTGCGTACTATCTCATAAATAAGTACTTAAATTGTGTGATCCTGCATGTGCTCGGTGGATGATGCCTGAACAAAAGAGACCCACTGATGGAAAGTTACACTCTGCCCTGCTGAGGTCCTTTTTCTGTGTTAAACTATAGTAGACAATTAAAAAAAAAAAATCTGTTTATGCACAGGAGCTGAATTTTGCTAATATTACAAGAACAGCACAACTAAACGATAGCAGCCACCCAACAGGTTGGCTACATTAAAATTATATACAATTTCAGGGTGTCCATTGGTGCTAAGCACAAGGCATGCACCGATAGAACCAACTGCAGAAGAACTTCCATAAACAAGGCAACGCTGTTCAAAAAAAAATGTGAGTGAAATTGCTATAACATTTTTCCATTTCCCATTTCTACTGAGTTTGTTTCTTCTTCATGGGCACTGACCCATAGAGAACAGCAAGCTTTACACCAAAATGTTCGTCGTCTCTGTTTTTGTGACACTGTGTTCCATCTAAGATAACCAGCATTTTCATAGTTGAGTTGCTTCCATTTCTTCTTCAAGATGAACACCATGTCAATCATATCTGTATGCAGCTGGAAAAAAAAAAAACAGTATTGAGCTGAGTCAGCTGTGTCTGTGATCTGCTCTCAAATATCCAGGGCTTGTTTTCTTAATTGTGGATGAGGAAACAAACAGGCACACACCTCAAATACCCATATGCTGCAAACACATAAACTGCATAAACACATCTTGATTGACCTAGGAAAAAGAAAGACAGTGGAATTGTAAATGCAATTCACTGATGGGAGTGGTAAATTTTACCTTATTTAAAGCTGCAGTTTCCCATTTGGTTTACTGGCTGCTCCTTCAGCCTCAGTGGCTAGTAAAAGTCAGTTCTGCAAGATCTATTAGCCAGGGAGAGACAGTGGTGATAGAATCAGTGTCATTTTATCAAAAAGAATCCACAAATTACTCTCAGTTTAGGAGGATTCAAAGGACAGAAGCAGCTTGTAACTCCAGACATTGCTCGGCCACCAGCCAACCCAGGAGAGTTCTTCAGGGATTTTCTCTCTTAGGATCTCATAATTACCATCTCTCTTGAGAATGCACAGCAACTTTCTATTCTTAGTTTATTTCTCTCCTCTCTCTCACACACATGCACATACTTCCTACTCAAAACAAGACTCAGCAAAACCCTCTGCCCACATAGTTCTAATTCCCAAGAGGACTTTCATATGCTTTTGTTTTGGGCAGTGACAATGTGCATATGTTTTGATTTCAGGCCCCCTGTTGGTTCTTGCACTTCAGTTTAATGAAGACACACCAGCTATTAAACTCACTGCCTCAAGATTTCCTTTGACATTTTAATTTGGACTGAAGTTTTGCTATGTGTTGTCCATTCAATCGTACCAAGTAAATATTTTGCTTTAGCAAATACATATTCTCCTGTTAATGTTTATTTTTAAAGTGTAAGGAGCTTGGGGAGTTTAATAAATAATGTAAGATAAAGCTGAAGATGAGTGAATGAGGTAAGTGCTGTGAGGGAGAACAGGAAAGTTACCTCTATGTATTTATAGATAATAAGAAACTAACCCTAACACTGAATAGAGTGGAAATAGAGGTACGTGTTTTTAGCTCAGTAGTTCTTCACGATTAAAGAGAATTACAGCAGTGATAAGAATACAATATCCACAGACATACACTAAAAGTGACCCAATTAGTTTTGCTTACTTGTATATATACAGTTTTCTGATGCAAAGTATTGCTGGATATTTTATTGCCTGACATTTTGCAAAAAGTTTCTTGCAGCCTTTTCTGTTCTTGAGGTAACCTGCTGCCTTTAATATGGAGGTGTAACAATTTGTTTTGAAAGTTCCATGGGACAGAAATCATTCCTCTGGTGTGAATCCCAACCCGTCTCAGCTTTATGAAAACACTTTCTTCATCCAATAGAAATCTGCATGCTTCAGAACGGTTTGAATCAAAAAATAGATGCCCCAGATGAGGAAGTTTTCCACAGATGCATGAATGCTGATACTACTGTTTGGAACTGCAAGTCGATGAGATTTCACCTTTTGGAGCATGGATTCAAATTCCAACACTGTGGTTGTGACTGGTAAGATTTTTATTTTTATTTTCTTCTCCTTTTAGCTAAAGATGGTATGAGTACATGCTTGATCTGTGTCATAAACAGTTCCCTGGAGGGAAAAACAGTAGCAAACGGTCATACTTACAATTCCAAATAGAAAATAACTTACTGCTGTGCCTTCTTAAGATACATGTCAGCGGAAACAAACTGCAGCATGCCCTCTTTACTGCCATCCAGTTTGGTTTGTTGCTCATTCTCTCCATGTTTTAATCTTTGTTGACATTCTCTCTGATCCAAACCACGTAGCTCAAGGCAGTGCAGGCTACTATTAGATAAAGCTTACCCAAAAGGAGCTCTGAAGCAGCAAAACCAGGTTGCATCACAATGTCACGTAGTCAGTGTCCAGAATTAGAACCACACATGGCAAGTTTCAGGGTCTCAGTGTCACGGCAAGGTAAGAGAAATTTGAACAGTAGATGCTGCCTCACCACTGCTGAACTAGACCATTAACTTTAAATATATCAAAAGAACATGTGTGAATGTGCAGCATAAGGGACAGAATTTGTTCTTTTTCTTGCTGGCTGATTTACAGTGGCAGAGCCACCAGCTAGAGACTGCTAGCTTTAAAAGGTTAAAGCTCCTAAGGAACGCTGCGACTCGCTGTCCCTCTCATTGCCACTGGCTCATCTAAAGGCAGTCATTACACATATCTTGACATGTGAGTTGCAGGATAATTTTCCACTGTAGGTCAACCGAGGACACAGGAACGAGGTTGAAGCTACATCAAAGAGATTTGCATCTTGCTGTTTTCAATTAAACACTTTTTTTTTTTTTTTAATAGCTCCAAGATGAGCAGAACTAGTTTGGCTTGCTCCAAAAACCTGCAGTTGAAATGAATGGGAGTGCAGGAGAGAGCAAGAGGTATTTGCTAACCTCTTAAAAGGCTGACAACCTGGTTCTCCCTATGATATTTATAGCACGTACCCTTGATGGGCACACTTCTTAGCACCTTGTTAGGTTTTTTCTCCCCTTACATCGCCATTTAGGTACAGAAATATACTTGTTCAAATGCTTTTAGTCTAGTGTGCCCCATTAGAGACACAGGTGCATCTTCAAGCTATTACAGAGATTATCACAGCATGCCTCTGTCACATTCTCACCTGCTCATAATATAAACCTGCTGGCACTGAGCCCAGTTTATTATATAGTGCCTAATAATATTCAACCTGTTAGCTCTTGAAGTTTTTGCAGGAATTTCAGTACTGTAAAACTCTCCTACATTTATTTTGTTACATAGAATAATATATCCCAAGCAGTGGATTCTTACAGCCACAGCTGGGATGCATGAATTCAACTCCAAATTATTTAGTAGCGTTGTTACAACTCTGCACGCATGCAGGTACCCCAACATGCACAACAACTGCAGCTTCAAAATGGGGTGAGTGTCTCCCTAATTTCACTCTGTAAATCTAGCCAGAGAGATTTTTTTCTTCACTATCAATGTGAAATGAGTGCTGCTTCCCAATCCCAGGGAAATCATTGCAGCAATACAACTACCACCAGGCTTTGCATCATATTAAAGAGATATTAAAAGATCAAGCAGTTATTAAATAAGTATCAGCAAATTAAGAAATGCTTAAAATATACCATTAATTATTAAAGCTGTTGTGAAGTTTAATAATTTAAGTTCAACTATTCCCATATACAAGTAACTTTCAATGTGCAAAGGAGTAACCATACGCTGGTATTTATTTGTCCATTTGTGGATTTTTAAGTATTTAAAGTGTAAAGCACTACAGCCATTTCACAGACCAGTTTTCCTGCTGCCCAGTGTCTAAGACTTTCCAACACACTGGACTGAGAGCAGTAATTGAGATTAATGAAGGCAGTGGGAGCTTTCCATCAAACTTTTAGATGACAAAACGCCCATCCAAATCAAAACAATTTTTGTCTTTTTGTTAAATAAAAAAGTAGCTCACAAAAGAAATTGTAAAACTAAATGAAATCAAGTTTTACTCTTTCATCTTCCTGAGCTCTCGACAGTAAGAAAGGTACAATGACAGCGACCTGGGATTGTTGACACCAGTCAATTTAATTTAATATTTCTGTGGCTAATGATATTCTGCCCAAATCATCACTTACATGAACGGGGCTCTTTTGGCTCCAAAACATTTAGCAGCTTCAGTTAAGTTTACCTCATAAGGCTTGTAGGATTAGCTACTATGTCAGCACATCTGAAAAAGTGCTGACCCTTCCCTTGAATGTCATAGAGGCTAAATAATATATTAAATAAAAAAAATCAACCTCTGTAACAAAAAATATTGAAGTACAAACATGTGATTACATACCTGTTGTCAGCTAACCTAACCTTGCAGAGCAAGGATAAGTTAAAAGCACATTCTTTCCTTTTCAGGTTTTGGTCCCTTTAGACAATACCTGGTTAATTCTAGCTGGGAAGCCGTGAAGGTAAGCAGGAAAAAAAAAGGGAGGGAGCTGTTTTATTTTGTGGAGATCCAAAGACAATCTGTTTCTGGGCTTTCCATTCCTTCCAAGACAGTTATTTTTCTTACTAAACAGAATTGCAGCTTTTGGAACAGACACAGAGGGAAGAAAATAATGAACAAGTGAACGTGATCGGCAAGGTTTTTTTCAGAACACTTTTAGAAGTCTAATGGACATTTGTTCCTTGTCTGTAGTCAGTGCATGTGCCATAAGTTATCTCTGCCTTCTGTAAACACGCCGTGATTCATTTTATCGCGTCTATGTCAGGTGATTTCCTTCTTATCCACTATGAAGCTATTACTGCCTACTTCAGGAACACAGGATGTAAGCAGGTCTATTCTAAGTATGTTTTCACATCTTAGCTTTGCTTTCCACTTTCAAAAGACAGCGAAGTCTGCAGTTAACACTGAAAGCAAGATCATTCAGATTTCTCCCCAGTCCAGACACCTTGATTCTATCAGTAGCTGCAGCATGTCTAAGATGGAGTCTTGAGTATTCCTGATTATTTCCTAAATATCTGCATTAGAACAAATTTAGGGTGGTGGTTATATAAAAACATTGTTTGCATACCTGGCTTTCAGCGTAAACTTTTCAGTTACAGTTATTTTCAAATAAGAATGTGTGACTTTACATTGAGTAACCAATATCAAAAATTTCCCCAAATAAATGATTTCCCAGAACACAATTATTCTTTTTTTTTTAAATTGTGTGTATCTGAAGAGCTGTGCATAACTTCCATATTTAAATATGCCTTACAAAACAAACACCCGCCCCTAGTAGATAAGACATTGTATGCTACAAGGTGATAATTTACTAGTTTGATACTTTAATACTGTAGCTCAATCTAAAGTGTGAAAGGTCATAATATACATACTTAATCATTAGGAACAACTACAGAGATTTGCTGAGTCTATGTACAAATTACACCTAAGGTCTAAGCTTTGACCCTAGATCTCCTGGCACAGACAGCGGCCATTCCTTGGGTTCCATTACTTTCTTCAAGTGTTTATGAGCAGAGTTATTGTGAAAGGGTCTTTCACACAAGTTTTTATCAATCTTAAGTAGAAAGAAGATCAGCAATGAAATCTGAAACTAGCTGGAGAACAACCAAGGTAATGAAAACTAATTGGAATGTTGGTGAAGCATATGCAACACAACAGATAATATTGGTAAAATGGAAAGTTAGACATACAAAACAAACTGAGGAGATTATGGTCTACTAGAGGAAATGAAATAAGCCCATAATAATTAACTTTAATTGATCTGGACATTGGAATCAAAAAAAACAGCTGTGAGATAATGCTAGTAGTGATAGAAAGACTGTGACCCTACAGGACTGTAACCGTATTACAATTTCAGGTGACAGCTACTGAAGATCTGTCTTGAAAATGAAGTGCAGACAAGTCAAGAGATGATGAATAAATAAACAAGGAGCTAGTAAATATTTCCAAAGACCAAAGGCTTCTAGCTTTGCTGGACAAGGAGCGCCAAGTGCAAGCTGCTGTTTGGAAAAATGTATCTACTATCCACCCTAAGTCATGAGGGATGTCATCCCTGTGGGCTAATAAGAAAGAAAAAAAAACCAAAGCACTTGTGTTCTACCTTTCCACTTTCCAGTCATCACAGAATACCTATAAATTATCTCAGCTCCAACTTGAGGTGATTTAAACCGCAAATATTTGTCAGTTGACAATATTCTTGCTCATTATTTCCTGGGTCCCATTGGCTCTAATTTTGGATGCAATATCACCCACCTCCCAGTGAAACCATGTTATTTATCTGCAAGCAAAACAGCCCAACACCAGAATACACTGATGAGTCTTCTGTAACAATGGCATGCACTTGCTATGCCAGGAAGTTATATAACATGGACTGCAGCAGTCCATAATGAAACAGATGTCAGTTCTTGTGTATAGAGTACAAACCCATTTCTCTCTGATGTGACACCCTCTGTGTGGAATTAATTTGTATTCGTACTGGCCGTGCTGCTTTGGTTTCTGATTCCCTGGCAAAGGTGGGTAATCCAGACAACTCAGGGAAATTTATTACAAATCTGGAAGTACTTGGAATTTCGATAGGCTTTTTGATACTAAATAGCAATCTCATGGTATTGTTCCATTAGCCTTGTTCATATGAGCCCAATGGTCTTGAGGAAGCTTATGCACATATATTAAAGACAGCAAAATGTAGAATTTACATCTGAAAGTAATCCTAACTTGGCTTGGAGTTACTGCGTGGATCACTAAAGTGACATAAAGCCCTCCTGCGGAGTCTCTTTCCTGAGAATCATGCAAGAGTGCACTCGAAGTACTGAGCAGCCACACCAGAGCTACATACTAAACATGATTACTAAGGCTTAATTGTTGCATAGTATTACCCAGAGCTATCCTAATTACTACCTCAGACTGAGCTGCACTCTTATCAAAAGCCACGGCAGTCTCAGAGATGCTGCAGAGCTGCAGCACTGACATTTATCATCTCAAGTAAGAGCACATCCCAGGAGAGTCCTCACATGCAAAACGTATCAATTCCTGTAGAAGTGCACGTATTGGGAGTCTCAGGTTATAATTCTCAAAGCGTAGCCTTCCCTCTATGCTTCTTGGAATGGGGCCTTGCCAAAGAGCAATGCCTTCACTTCTGTGTGCAGCACTCACTCTTATGTGCATTTGCTTCCTTCAGATCTCTGTTGCCACCTTCACTGTAAGATGCTCTTGCACTCTTGGGCTTGCTGATAGGATCAGCAATTTTCCTAAAGCTTATTTCTTGCTGGAAGAAGGATCAGAGATCAATCCAGTGCGCACACATCTTGTTCCAAGAGTAATTTTTATACCCTATATCCTTTTATACCCTTACTGGTCACTCCAAAAATTAGCATATGTTGTTTCTCTTACAAACTAACTGTAGTCCCTCATAATCAGCAGAAAAGCTGATTTCTCTGACATCCTCAGGAACCAGATGATAAATATTAAGACTTTACAGATCACTGTTAGTTTAGGAAGAGCATTTGTTCCGAGTTCTTAGATTTCTTATTGATACTATGCAGCAGTGCACTGTTTTGCATTTCCTCTTTTAGCACCCATCAGCATCACTATGGATCCGTCATTCCTCAGCAAGCGCTCCTTGAGTGTTTAGGAAAAGAGATAATCAGAAGAGTCAGAAAGTACCAGCAAACCTGTCAATTCAGAGTTATTGAGGAAAACTTCAGGGCCTTTACAGACATTGTCACGTGGCCCAACATAGTTGCCTAGCACTAGAAAGACAGATTCTCTTTTGGAAACCTGCCTCACCAAGTTTTTCGTGGTTCTCACAACTGCACTCACCTGAAATACCCTCCTGACATATGCATGAAAGCTCCACCAGCACCTCTTAACTCTTGAAATGCAGAACATTCTCTCTGGAGAAAAACAACACTGAGAGTTAACACCACATTTGCAGACAGATCACACAGAGTTATTATGATGTGTTCTTCAGAACCACGTGGGACCCTCAGAATCTCAGATCTCCTGAACCATTTATTCCATCTTACAGACCAATGGTCCCACCAAACACCCCTTGATCCAACTCCATTGCTATATATTTCCTCCAGAAGCCTACGTCTGGCACTTGGCAGCTAAATATCCTATCAGAGCAACCTACCATCAAGGTCGAATTCCCCAGTTAGTAGGGCACAAGTGTAAGTTGAGTGACAGCATTCATAGCAATTAAACTGTTAGTGCAAACAACAGGTCACATTTCCAACTGCTTCTGGGAACTACGTCTGATATCAGGAGACAAGGATCAGACCTCTGCTCGCAGTTTTTCATTCTGCTGCTGACCATGTGGTCTTTGGAAATGTGTCATTTAATCTCTCTCCCTCTCTGCTTTGGTTTCATCATCTGTGAAAATAAGACGTTGCTATTTAGTTCTTTCATTTGTGTTCTGGAACTTTCTTATATCTCTAACACTTTAAAGAGCTATCTGCAGGATTAGAAGGAAAAAATGACTTTTTTTTTACTGCATCAACCACTTTCTGAATGAGGTGCACAAAATTAACACATGCAACCGACTTCCCCACTCCCTAACGTCCTGGCAACCCAAAACTGTGAAAACTCAAAGAAGATCTGTGAAATGTTCTGGAGCTTTCTAAAAGTTTAGGTTGTTTGTCACACTCAGTGTAACACACAACCACTGCTTCTGACCTCAACTGCTCTGCGCAGATCATTCCTCTTTGGAGAGGGCTATGCATGGGCATGAGCCAGAACTCCAGTGAGCTGTGGTTGTGATCACAACTCACCAACAACTCCAGGTTGTCAACTGATAATACTGGATTCTATTTTCCTTTTAGAAAGACTTTCCAACAGCAACAACTTTGTTTTCTTTTGAACCACTTTTCCCACAAAAAATAAAAAAAAAATAAAAAATAAAAAGCAGTTCTCCATAGGTTCTATAGTCTCTCAGTGTTTCCTTTGCTGTTTCAACTACAGCAGACAGGCTGTTTACTGAATTGATTCACCAGTGTGGGATTCAGCGTTCCTTCTCATCTTCAGATTCTCACATTAAATGTAAAAATCGTTTTGATTATGGCTGAGACAAGGAACACCCTTTTTTTTTGTTCTGTTTGCTCAACATGTGGTGTAATGGAGTGTAAGTCCATGCTTAGGATTCCTGAATAACAAAATAATCATATTATGGACAACGTGCTATAATTCCTTAGGACAGAACCAACCATCATCCTTTGACACAAATTCCCAACCCTGGGCTACTGGCCAGCTTCTGATTTTGTCCTGCACAAAAGGAATTTCTGCATTTCTCTACGACAGAGAGCGACAAGAACCTCAATCCAGACAGCACAAGGAAAGAACAGCTTACAATAGTTTATACAACTTTGGGTCTTCTGATCCTAAACTAAACTTGTGGATAGCCAAGCACTTTAAGTCCTATAGTTAAAAAGGAAGAATCTCATTAAATGTTAAGATTAAAAATGTTTGAGAAAATAAAATGCTAATTGTGAACCAGCTGGGGTTTTCTTTTTTGGATGCTAAGACACAGTACAGCATTCTTAAGCAAGATGATGCAATGGCCTCTCAAAGACTGTCAGCGCCCAGAGGAAAAAAAGGCTGGCAGTGTTCTCTAAATGTGTTTACTTCCCTGCAGGCATTGTTTCCTTGCTTGTGTCAAATAGTTTATTGAGCACAGCTAATCAATGTTTCCGCTGACAAGAAAATTGGAACAGTTTATATAGGAAGCCAGTGTTGAAGGGCAAATTTCCCAGTAAACTCAGCCCTGTGCACGCAAATATCCTTAGTAAGAAAGGAAAGCTTAAGGAAACAATGACATTGAAAAAGTTACAAGTTTCTCGGACTATCTAATACTGTTGCTGGTGACTTCTTGCCCATGCCCTCCATAGAAACTCAGAAAACTTGTACACTTTTTTGTAATGGTCTACTAAGATGTAACAGGGATTTTCAACCACCATTTTGCTTCACTGGGACAAAGCTTTCTGTCTCAGTTGTATTCTTTCTGCATCCTGCCACTGCAGCATTTACGTTCTTCATAAAGGCTTATGGCTTCTTGATTAGCCCTGTTTCACTGACAAAACAATTTAAGGCATCACCACATGATGCTCATCCTTGACTCCTATCAAGACCATCTTGCACACATCTAGCCAACCTGCTGTTTTAAAGGATGCCTTTTTTTTTTTTTTTCCTTTTATCTCAGTCCTGGGCATAATTTTTGTTTCCTTTGGGAAAAGGCCCCATGCAGAACTTCAACTCAATAACAAAGAAGTAACATTCCAACAAATAACATTTCCTTCTTTCATCGGGGAAACACATTCTAGATCAAAAAGAAATGAATTCCTATCTCAACATGCTACTGTGCTGACACTCACTTTGAGCAAAGGTTTTCAGAAGCAAGTTCAAGACAGCAGGTGGAATGTCATCCAAGTGACATCTAATGAGAATTCTCTCTCATTTGTGTCTCTCCAGAAGCTCAGGTTTATCTACTTTGTCTTTCAGAGGAACAGCTTACCTATATCAAAGCCTACTAGATGTGGATCTTTCCTGAGAAATTCTGTATTTCATGGTTCCCCATGGGCCAGTTCATATCAGGATTGCACAAACCACACACTGGAGGCTGAGCACCCTTTTGGAAAATATAACCATGGCTCAACACGGATGTGACATTAAGAAATTCTTTTGTACAGCTGACTTTCCTTTAATAAAAACGGAGAGCTGTCATCAGAACTGGGTCTCGCTGTAGAGCAAGGAACAATAGGGCTACGCAGTGATGCATTGCTTTCCGTATCTGCTCAGTTGAATCAGCCTGAGTTCTACGTCACGCTGAAAAACCCACTGCTCTTACACATCCATCACAGTTGTTGGCTTGTTTTTTGTATCTATAGGAGCTGTCCAAGAGAGGCCTTGGAAAAAACATCGATCTTCGTATCATGCAGCTACCAGTGGTTTACCAAAAAGCAAAGGAACAAATCTTCAGGATATGGACAACTCTTCATCCAATAGTGAGTAGTCACAACGTTGGGCAATTTTCCCCTTCATTTCTAAATAATATTTCCGGTAAATCTTTAGAAAGACCTCCAAAAGATTACTGCACAATGTGTATCAGGCAGCTCTGGACAGTGACTGTACAAACGGTGATGAAGGCTCCAAACAACTTTGGAGCACAAATTAATTAGCATGCCACTTTAATCCTGTGCCATGTAAACAGTATAACTGCATGCAGAACAAAGAAAAATACATCTACCTACATAAATTGTAAGGAAAAAAACGAGAAAAAAATTTCAGCTTTGAAGTGTGGAGTTGAGTAGACACAACAACAACGAAAAACAAAAAAAACACAATTTGGTTCCCATTTATAATCTCTTATCAAAGTTATCTTGAAGCATGAGCTACAGCAAGGCTTCCCACCTTGAAGACAGTATTTCACATAATGCTTGGCAGTCCTGCATTACATGTTTTCAAAAAACAAGTCTCATTTTTAATTTCCTGTTATTCACTCTGGTGGGAAAAAACAGCTTGCTGTTCACGTTGGGCTGGCTTCATCCACCAAAGCAATCATCATCCTTGAGCAGTGTGGGAAGAACAAAGGCTATGAAGAGATGGATGCTTGTGGTTTTCACCCAGAAGGTGGCTGTTGCATGCTAGATGGTCCGGAAAAGATTGAATCTACAATTAACCTGAAGACTATCTGGAAAAATATTTCAGTGGAAGGAATTGATATCATCTTTTCCAGAGATGCGGGAAGGTAAATATTGTGTATCAAGGCCTCAAAGTAAAAGCAGAAGTAATTCAATCAGCTCACTTAACCTTGAAGAGTCTCTGCAATGAATTCTCCTCTCACCAAAATCACTTTGAAGTAAAGACTTGCAAGTGTCACAAGTATAAAATGAGGACAAATTTAAATTTTATGTAGAGAAGCCTTCATGGAAAACAACAGTCAGTAGATAGTTTTCCATGGACTGCAAAAGAAACAAGTTTCAACACAGCACACTGCGATGAGCAACCCCAGTAAACCTGTGCTTTCTGAGTCTAAAAGCAAAACTGACTAGTGGGAGATTTTAATCTGTTTTTCCCAACTGGGAGAGATATAAAATGTAAATACACACACTGAGGAACAGAGCAATTATAGGTACCTTTAGAACAGTATCTGTGATCTCACTGTAGGATTCAAGTTTTCTTCAGTTAAAAGGAAAACAAAAGAAAGTGTAAGTTGTTTTTTTATATGTAGCTGATCTCGTCCTGTGCTTTTAGGATATGGATCTGCAAGCTAAAAGGTTAAGGTGATAAACAATAACAAAAAAGGTTGGCGGTGAGCCTGTACGACCTCCACAAAGAAATTCACTGATGTGCTGTAATGCTATGGCTGCAGTGCTGGGGGGCTGCATTAGCTTTCTCATCTGACTTAGCTTACAGAAACCTACAAGAGAATGCATGTCTTATGATTTATTTATTTCTATTATTATTTCTGAAGTTGCTTCTGAGTGTCTGAGACAGTAACAATCAGATATGGAATATCTGTTTCTCAGACCAGTTTTATTTCAGCATTCCCTTTACTCAGCAAGCAAATACGTTTTTAATATTTTTGTCAACCAGATCTGGTTTGGCTACCTAATGAATATTTAAATTTAATCAAAGTTTACTGTTCCTTAATTCGGGTTTCTGTTTCTGTTTTGTTTGTTGCATTTCAGGTACCTCTGTGATTACACCTATTACACTTCCCTGTATTACGGCGCTGGAAGAGCAGCTTTCATCCATGTGCCTCCATTATCAAAGTCGGTAACAGCAGACTCTCTAGGAAAAGCATTACAGACAATTATCTCAGAAATGTTAAAACAGTGTGGGGAACAGAGAGAGTAAGATGGAACAGAAGAAAAAAGGAGGTTTCTTAAAATGGAATTTCTTATCTCTTAGAAGCAGCAAATCTAATGATTATTTAAATCCCTTAAAGATTTTGTTCCAAGTTATTTTCACGGACATCTCCTTACAAAAGCCAAACAACTGTTTCCATCTCTGCTATAAAAATCTTGAGGGGAAGAAAAAAAAAAACCCACAAAAAGTGACAGTTTGTAACACTAAGATTGCTTCAGATTTATGAAAGTGCAAAAAACAGGACTTAAAAATGGTTACAGACTTCCTAAAATCTTTTAAAAGCATGCTTTTAAAAAATCTAATTAAAACAAAACAAAGCAAAGCGAATGTCAAAAGATGTTACTACAGATTTGTTGAATCAAGATCCATTCTTACGTCCATAAGGACATTCAGCACTGATACCACAAAGTTCCCCAAGTCCCTGTTCAAGTGCATGGACACGGGTTCATCCAACACAAGCTGCCCATATATAAACTTTAAATATGAGGGAAAAATAAACCACAGGTAGAGATCCTGTTATTTTGAAGATTTTTTTCAGTTTCTGTGTCTCTTTGAGACCTGCTGTACGTGCCGGCTTTCACAGACAAAGCAGCCTACAGATCTGGGGTGATTAATACAAAAAAAGCTGGAACCTGGCAGACACTGTAAAGCTGTTTGAGTTTCAACTGGCTGAAAACACCCTTTCCCCAAATTCTCAGCATATGTCCCAGAGGAAAACACTGCTGTCCTTCCACAAAGCACAGCACAAAGACAACAGCCTTGCAGTACAATGGGTCTGTATGCTATTCAGGGATTTGTACATCAAAATCAACAAGCCAACTTGTCCCAGGAAAGGCGAGCAGTGAAGCGCCGCGCAGTGGAATGTCATGGCACATTATCTTTCTTACAAAACAGGAACCAAATGAGATCCCAACTTATAAAGCTTGGGATCAGACACTGACAGATCACTTCTGAGCTTCTCCCCTGCCAAGCCAGGCTCCTCGGTGTCTCAGACGTGGCTATATACGGAAGCACTGCTCTATCAAGGCTGGGCAAGACAGAGGTTTACAGCGTGTCCTCTTTAGCTCACAGGGAATGTCAATGCACACAGTTTTGCTTGTACCATGACAGACAATTATGACATAAAACCAGCAAGTAGTTTTCAAAAACAATCACCGGAACAGAAGAGCAGCATCTTCATGTGGACACCTGGGATTTCTCTACGGGAAAAGAAAGCTCATTGCTCTAGTGTTGTGTCAGTAAAAAGGACAAGAGACAAGGATAACCTAATGGCACAGACACCTGAACAAGCTCTGGGCCACCACTGTGCCTCAGTCAAGACTTTTATGACAAGACTCAGAGAAATTGTAAATGCCAAGATAATGCTAGCTTTCTTGTCGCTATTTTTCTAACAACATTTGCAGAAAACTGATAACTTTGTACTGGATGGCTGAATGCCTCATGTATGCATTGCTGTAACAGCAAACGAAAGGATTTCCTTCAAATAAATAAAGAAAAAGGCTTTCCTTATTCAGATGAATCAAGTCCCGCTGACAAATGGTCCAAAGGTTAGTGTCACTGGATTACAATACTTCTGACTTCAACACGGCATGATGGCAGCACTGACCTCTACGAAGATCGTTTTCAGAGTTGCTCAACTAAATGCAGCCAGAAGTGCCGAAGAAAAAGTCTTGAGTCTTCTGAGCTGCACTTGCTTTGCAATGAAGAACAACAAATTCAAAAGCAGACAAATGCATACAGAATTCTTTTATTTAACTTAAATCAGGTAGTACTGAAACTACTAGAAAAAAGCAGAGTAAGAGAAACTAATGGAGCCTTAGCTTCAGCCATTCAAAATAGACAAAGTTTCTTCTTTTCATAATGTAAAGAATCCCGAGTATATCGCAATAACAGGAATAAATTCTTACAACAGAATATACAAAAACATTTTGAATTTTTTTTTTTATCTACTGATTCATTTTAATATAAACACAGGAATTTCTTTAGGAATAATTTATACACAGCAAGTCTTTTTTATGTAATAAATTGGCCATGTTATTGTTGAATTTTCTCTTAAAAAAATCTAAACAAGAAAACTCAGAAAATGTCGTATTTGCAACTGCATCCATTCCTTAGCACTTTCTAGTTTTGTTTTTGTCCCAGAGGTAGACAAACTCTGGCCAATCCTTTCATCTCAAACCTCACTGGTTTAGAAAACAGAAGAGCTGATCGTTAAATAGCATCTAAATCATCGTAACGCTTCAGAAATGCAGTTAGTCAGACTTCAGGGGGAAACAGGGATCTTCGGTATTCTTAAATAAAAATAAATAGGGACCCTGCTTTGCTTATTACAACAAAGCTTCAAATGGTAATGCTTCAGCATCTTTAGAGGCTGCATACAAACTTTTAAAGTGATAAGAAATATGCAAATAGTTCTTCAATTGTAATTACAAAAACTGCCTTCCCGCTTTCTCTTATGCAGTCGTTTCCTTCAAACCACCTGGCACCCATAAAACAGGTACTGAACAGCACAAGTGAGACTGTGTAGCAGCAAAACCCGTTCTGTTTTCCCAACCAGTGAGGTTCTTGCAATCCGTTAAGTTCACTGCACTAGACAGCAAAGTGAAATGACCAGTTAAGATGATCCCACCCCAACTAGAGGGCTCTGGAAGACCAGGATACTGAAGATACAGAACATTTCCTCGACTTCTTTACTCGTTCTCTATGTACTGAGACACAAAGCTTGGGCAGGTAGTGGGAGAGGGATGAGCCTTGAATTGGACGAGTTAGCGATCCTTTTTGGCATATTGTAAAGCTAGCTAGTAAACTGGTACCATCAAAGAAAACTGATCTCATACAGACACACGCACACACTGACAGAAAAAGTGCCCTTAAATTATATTTTAGGCATTAATAAACTACAAACATTTTATAAAATTATTCTATGTACTTACAAAATGCAATGAAACATTTAATTAGTTCTTGTAAACCAGATCTTCGTCAACTGACTACCCGTAATCTACTGGACTTAAAGCCCTATTGAAAATGCTAATGGATTACTAATCAACAGAACGCGCACAAAAAAGGTGGACACGCACGCACACGCACGCACACAACTGGTGATAATCTGGTACTTGCAAAACAGACCAACAGAAGGTTGAGGCTGACTCATACAGACCAATGCCACAACCACTGAACTCCTGTTACGAGTTTACCGCTTCAGCTGGAAAGTCCGGTTTATTTACAAGTACCAATGATCAGAACGGTGACACCTGAGCTCTGCTGCTGCCCCACGCACACCAAGCTCAGGAAACAACTACAAGCTTCTGCCAAGCCCTGTGTCTTCGTAAACATCCTTTTCCATATCTTTTGTTTTCAGATGTCTCCATATAAGCACTTCTCAGTTCTGATTTACCTGGCTGCGCTCCGTAACAGAGACTGCTTACTGCCCTCTGAGCAGCCAGTTCCCTGAACTGAGGCAACCTTTACGCCCTCCTGCCTATTTGCAGTTCTGTATCTTCAGCACCTCTGGCCACTACTGTTATTTTCTACACACCATTCTTAAATTCTTGTCTGCACAACTACTCATGGGTTAAGTTGCAATATCTGGCTTTTATCACTGGTTAGTAAGGAGTGGACCCCTTGCACCTTCCTCCGCTGTTGTTTAGCCCAGTGATTAAATACACCGTTGACGAACAAAATAAGAACAACAGGAAACAAGTGTTACTTGCACTAGTGGAATGAATAGGATTTAAATACATATATATCTATATTACAGACATACACACGCGGATATCTATGTCCATATAGATATATACTTATGGAGTTACACCAACAACAGGAGTGTTGTTCGCTTAGACTCAGATTGTACGGAACAACCCTCGGCAGTTCCCAGAGGACCTGACAGCGGTTCCGCCTGGTGACCAGTCGGTCCTGGGCAAACTGGGCTTCACTTGTTTTTAAAGACCAACAGGAGCATCAGTGCGAACATCTCTAGAATCTTACATCACTTAGAACCAGCTTTAAAGAACAGAGGCGTCACGCTGAGAAAGACCTGGTGAACACAGGCTGGCCTCGAACTTCCAATCACGCTTGGCTGCTGTGTCCAACTCATCTCTCGCTCAAAAGCGCTTCTTAGTACCAAGCAGCTGACACTTCTGTGCTTACACAGGAGCCACCTTCCTTTGCAACCAAACCACCTTCCGTGCCACTGAGAAGCTTTTAAATGTGAGGCAGGTGAGAACAATGGCCCGAGTGCTGAAATCAAAGCCTGCCCCTGCGGTGATGCCAGCTTGTTATTCTACTGCATCAAAACAGCTTGGTAATGTTTGTCAAAACGCTGGGTTTTGGGGCTGGGTGGGCTTTTGTTTTGAATTTGTAAGGAAATTGGATTACTTGAACTTTATTCAAACACAGTCGAAGTTCTGAATAAATTTACCATACCAGACAAGCCAGTGGTCTCAGGAAAGAACAACATTACAAACCATATTATGACTCTATCAAGCCAACATTAATTCTCAGTTGTTCACATGCATAAACAACTTGATTTACTGTCCAAGGGAAGTCTGCATGAAAAGCCCATGTGAATAAAGCTATTCAAAATGCACAAAACACAACAAAAAACGCTATGGAAACAAACAGAACAAAAAAGTAATTAAGCCTGAATTGCAAACACAGAACACAATGGTATCATGAAGGTGGTTTGGTCCAGGAGAGCTGACTGTCATCACACGTGCGTACTTTTAGTCCCGTGACTGTTTTCTACTGAAGTGCTTTTTGAAATGTCTATCACAATGGGTGCTACGTCATTAGTGTTTCTTCCTAACACATTTTTAAACCACCTACATCAAATTATAAAAACCAATAACTTGGACAGTTTTAACAAAACCCTCCTAGCCAGCTGAAAGATCTGAGGATCTCCAGTTGTGGTAATCAATATGTGCAAGTGAGGGGAACAGTCACTGCACCAAAAGGTCACTGGAAGCTTCAAAGAAATGGAAAACAAAAAGGACACAGTAACAACTTTAAATTTGCTGCTTTTTCAGGGTCTGAGAGAAACGATCCCTCCAAAGACAAGCCCTGCAGTACTCAACCACAGCACTGTATATTCAAGAGGCCGCATGCAATTCGAAGTAGCCAAGCATCGCATTATTCAGATACCACAACCAACACCTGCACGAACAGCTGCCTGAGCTGGAAAAAGAGAAACATTATACATCATGTTGATGGCAAGCCTGTGTTAGTCCTGTGTGCTTGTAAACCAGTTACACGCTGTCAGAGGGCAGTTAAAATTTGATGGCTGGTCCATCAGAATCCACAGTTATGAAGCATATAAACGGGGGATGAAAGGGAAACTGACTTTACTGGCACATAAAAAAATTCAATTCTATGTTAGTTTTGAAAACAAAAACAAAACAATAAGATAAAATAAAATAAAATAAAAAAATCAGTGCTCTCATTGAACAGAAGCAGCAAAGATCCAAAGCTGTAAACTCGACGTGGTATTATCATCAGGCAGCCCGCAGCAGGTTTGTCATTGTGTTGGTCAAAAACAAAAAAAGCAACACTGTGCTACGTGAGCCAAATGGCTGCTGGTTCAGCCAAATGTCTTTTTGGTGCTTGCGGCATCTGAGGAAAATTTGCCAGGAATGACTGAGGCCAAACAGACCACTCTCCTTATTCTAGCAATTCTTCTGGACCTTCAAACACTGTAAACAATTCATTTCTGTAGCAAATTCGATCGAAACTCGTCAGACTGAAAAGTTCTCGTATCAGGTCAGATCTGCAGCCCTCTGAACACGCAGCAGCCCCGCTGCTGACCTGAGCACTGCCACGACGGCCCGTTAAAAAGCCTTCGTGTTTCCTTAATGAACGACCACCTCCCGTCAGGCAACTCTCGGATTTTCCTCACAATACCAGATTGGAACTGAAAAGGCAAAACTCCTTGGAACTGAGGCAAAGATTCTGAAGTGACCCTTTGTGATGAGCGGTGACTGTTCCCCTCTGGAACCTAGAGCATGTGGTTTATGGAGTGAGAGGTTACCAGTATTGACGGCATTTATTGGCTGCTGAGAAATGTGAGATGTATTTTTTTTATATACACACATATAAAAAAATAAGAGTGAGGTAGATAAATGTTTGAAAAAAATCAAAAACTGTCCCCCTGTCATACTCAAAAACCCTTATCTCAGTATTTAAATTTATTATGGGGCATCTCTACAGTGATTTAAACTGATATCACAAAAATAAATAAAAAATCCTACATAGAATACCTTCTTAATTAACTTTTTTGTCTTTTTCATTTTTAAAAGGGAAAAATAACTATGGGACAGAGGCAAGAGAAGATAATGGGACCTAAACTACACAAGCAAAAAGCACTACAAACTTTTAAAAATCTCCAGTCAAAACTAGCAATCAGTATATTTTAAGTCTTTGTTCTTACTCAAAGGTTTTAAACATTTCCATCCCAGAACCACCTCTTCACTGCCATCAGTTGGCTGGATCAGTGCTAAACAAAGGCTAAGATGCTGTAACTAAGATGAGCAACTGCTACGACTCCTTGGTTGTAGGCTTTATGATGGCCCCCTCCTTCCCTTTTCACCAAGGCTTCTGCAACTGAACAAACAAGCTCACTCATTTTCTTTTGTTCTGAGGTTTGGTCTATGACTTAAGCAACAGGCTTGGACTTGAACAGGTTTCCATAGCTGCCAACACTTAACTGTTTGCTAGCCGAGCTGCTGGCTCCAGCTACATGCTTTCCACCCTACCCCACGGGAATGGCGTGCTGTTGATTTGGGTGTTTTTAATTCTGTTTACCTTGGGGTGCAAAATGCAGCCCACTGCGTCCTCCAGGAGGACTTCCTCATTGGGAAGGGAAAGAGCTGGGGCTGGAGCCAGGTGTTCAACGGCCACCCAAAAAGTGCCCTGTGCCGCCA